GTGGATGCGGCCGTCTCTGCCACATGAGTGGCAGGCGGCCATGGGGCCCAGTAGCAGACTGAGTGTGCTCTCCAGTCCGACGCTACTGCTTTGAACAACTTTTTTCGTGGGCGCCATAGCCCGCGAGATCGTGATGGCGATTGGTGTTTCGTTCCGTCAGGGGCCTCGCGAGGACGCCCATGGGGCCCAAGATAGAACGACGGGAGCGGGGAAGGAGGGGGTGCGAGAATGAGGAGGATGGAGGGAGCGAGAGGCAAGTGGACGACGGAAATGTGATACAACCATTCTCGAAAGACAATGTGGACCACGCATTCTACTCGATATGATTGCGCTCAGCTTCCGAGGTGACAACCGTGCCAACTTAACGCATACGATGCAACATGTATTGCTTGAGGGTCAATGTTAGGCAGCACGGCTTTACGTGACCACGCGCACGCACATATGTACGCGTATCATGCATCACATGCGTGCACAACCAAGCAATTGGGTAGGTACGTCATGTCTCAACCTTTCTCGAGAGCTCTCAACCTAGAGAACATTGCAATCATTATCCAGGAGACTCCGCATGACGCCACACCCCCAACTAGATCCATATAGGCACGCCCTCCACACCAAATCTGGCCCAGTGAGATCGATGTGAGATCGGTCGTGAGATCGATCGCGAGATCGATAGAGGGATCGATCGTGAGATCGACTGTGGGATCGATCGTAAGATCGATCGGGAGGTCGATTGTGAGATTGATGGGGAGATCTGTCGTGCGATCGATCGTGAGATCAAAAGTGAGATCGTTCGTGCGGTCGGTAATGACATCGATAGTGGGATCGATACTGAGATCGATGTGATATCGATCGTGGAATCGATCGTGAGATCGATAGTGCGATCGATCGTGAGATCGAATGTGGGATCGATAATGGGGGTCGATCGGGAGATCGATCGATTGAAGGGGTCGGTTGCCCACCCCCCTCCTTATCACCCGAAATGTGGCCGTACATGTATAAGCAGCTAAGTGTTTTCTTCCGACGGGAAAAGGGGGCATCTTCTGTATGCTCAGGGGAGCCTCAGCTCAGCTGGGGTTCGCTCCGAGCACGCAAAGCCGCCCCTCTCTCCTGTTGTTCGGTGTTCTCATGGCCCCTTGAGGCCAACCAAGTTTCAAATCGCACTCGGCCCCGAATGGTACCCAAGCCCACAATGTGCCCTGACCGTGCTCCCTTGTAGCGGCCCCAAGTGTTGGCAACCTGCAGGTCCGTTTGGTCGCACGGTGCTCTCTAGAGAGGTGCAAAGATGACGGCTAGTCCAACATCCCAGTCACTGCCGCTGCCTCTGCCTCTTCCTCTCTGGCTCTCTGCCTCTGTCTCTAGAGGAGGGGCAGGGGCAGGCAACCCTCCTTCTCCTCCTCATCCTCCTCCTCCTCATCACCATCATCCTCCACGTACGCCTCCTCCGCATCCTTCGCCCTGCTGATTTTACGGTTGCCCACCCTTTTGGGGGCTTTACGATTGTCCTCCCCTGTCGTGAAGGAGAGGCGAGACACGCAGAAGGTGAGGAGCAGGAAGGGTGGAGAGATATGGGAACATGATAAGACAGCACGGGGGGACGGGGCCGCCCTGCCCCCGTCGCGGCCACGCCCCGCGCTACCGCCGAAGACATCGAGGAAGAGGCGGGCCCTCACTTCACGCGCGCCCCGCGCGCGCTCCCTGGATGAGGCTGGCAAAGAAGGATGGGGTGGGAGGTGGAAGAGGAGGGGAGGAGGGGGAGGAGACGGATGAGGGGTAGGAAGGATGACAAGGAGGGGACCGAATGATTCAGGAGGGGAGATGGGGCAGGAGGATGATTAAGAGGCAGAGGAGGGGAGGGGGATGGGGTAGGAGGCGGGAGGGAATATGGGGACTGCACGACCCCTAGGAGCAGGAGAAGGAAGAGGCGGGGCAAGGATACCAAAGCCATCGAACTGTAGGTTGCAGCCGTTCATTCCGAAGGAAGAGGACTAAAGGGCAGGATGCGTAGTAAGCTGGTTTCGTTCATTCCTAAAGCGCATGCATGCTGATATCGAAGAGACGATCGGTTTAGAGGCTTACCGAAATCGCTGATATAGCTTCTTCTGGCGAAACCGAGAGTGTAAGCTTATTCCTTTCAGGGCGCCACGTGCTGACAGTCGCCGCTCCACCGCCACCCTTGATTAAGCGCAGTCTCCCGCAGACGAGTGTCTACCTACCAAGGAGTATTCAAGACAGACCCAGACGGGCCCAAGACGACCCCAAGACGGCCCAAGATGGCCCCAGAACGACCCCAGAGAGCGACAAGACGCCCAGGGTTCTTGATGGACACCCGAAGCCCCCACAGATACAACAGCCCGAACAGTGTCGATTGCGTCTTCTCCTCCGCTCTTCGGCTGCAGACGACAGGGAACACAAGAGCGCTCCCCGAGGGCCCCAAGACACCCCCATGATAGTTCATGATGGCCCCGGGAGAGCCTCCAGACTGGCCGCGCGGGCCCCCAGTTGAGCTCAAGAGTGCCTAGGACGGGGAAAGTGCTCCTGCGGCTTCTGGGCCCTTCATGTGCCGTCTTGACCCTACCCAGGGTCCAGTGCGGCTGGTCTTTGGGTTCTCTTGGGCGCCGTGCTGATATGGGGACTCTTTTCGGGGCCCTCGGGGGGGCTCCCTTGAAGTCCCCTGGGCTCCCAGACTGGCCTCTTGGAGACCTCTTAAGCCGAAGAGGCGGGGAGGACAGACTGATCAACACACAAAGGTTTTGTTTGTTTGTTGTTGCCCTCTTTGATGTCCTTCCAGCTCCCTCTTGTGCCGTCTTGGCGCTCTCTGGGGCCGTCTTGGGCTGTCTCGGGCTCTCTGGGGCCGTCTTGGCGTCTTTAGCCATCCTGGGGCCGTCTTGGGCTGTCTCGGGGTCGTCTCGGGACCGTCTGGGTTATGTCTTGGGCCCTCTTGGGGCGCTCTTGGGCCGTCCTGGGGTGGCCGGGGACGAGCCAGGCCCGTCGGGATCCATGGTGCGTCAAATGCTTTCCTTGCGCGTAGGGGGACCACTTGCACAGTAGGCGCGTCAAATGAGAAGCTGGTCTGCCAGCAGGTGCCCCACGCGAGTTTCTTCGGGGGCGGCCAAGAGGGGGGTGATGACCAGGGGGGGGGCGGATATCATGGCGTGGTCCACAATCTTTCTTTCCACTGATTTCATGGCGCCTCTTCTTGTTTCATTACGTCCCTGGGCCCCCCTTGGGCCGTGCACATGCCGCCGGCCATGAGATTTGCGCCCCCCCCCGCCCCCCCTCTTGGACGCCCCCTCTTGGCCGCCCCCGATGTCTTGTCCCCCCGACTGCTCCAGAGGCCCAGAGGAGCCCCGGGATGCTTCAGGAAAACGCAAGGCTCGACGACGGACGTGCCCCAAAGGTTTCTGGCAGCAGACTCTCTGATCGTAGGCGCCTGCTGTGTTGTGCAGCTCTGTTTCTGTGCTCGCCCGCCCGCTCCGTCCCTCCTCCTCCTCCTCCTCCTCCTCCTCCTCCTCCTCCTCCTCCTCCTCCTCCTCCTCCCCCTCTCAACATGGACCCTGAGGAAGTCAAGAGGCTGAAGGAACGCCAGAAGCTAAAAGACAGCACCCAGACCATGCTGGATGGCACCGAGATCTTCGCGGATAAATTCGGCTACCCCAAGTCGGAGGAGACGACGGCGGCCAGCTCAATCGGCCACCGGTGAGCGCACCCACTGGAGCGTGCAGAATTGTCCAGAGGAAGCATTAGCGAGGTTTCTCGGAGTGCTTATCTAGGCAAGGAGCGAGCGGGCCGTGCACACACACAGTCGCAGTGCAACTCATGACAGACACTATGAGCACAGCAGTGCGCCTGCAGCGCCATCGCATTAGGAAGTATTTTTGGAGTACCATCAGGTACACTACTGCAGGGTGTGGAAGGAGAAAGAAGTGATCAGCAAGAGGTCCACCAGTGTGCTCCTCATTGGCCCTACCTATGACCGTGGCTTCCAGTATGCTCTGCCTCGCACACTCCGAGGGGGAACCTTGGGCTGCGTCACGGGGTACCAGACTACAGATGTGACAATGCATGGAGCATCTCTCGGAACCACCGAGAAGTGAGCTGAGCGGGAGAGGGGAGCACGGAATTAAAACTGTAGAGGCAGGGCCCCCCCAGCAACTGGGTGGGGTCTCGGGCCTTCCGTCTCTCCTTCTCTCCTTCTTTCGAGGTCGTGTCGTCGTCACCTCCCCCCCCCGGTTTGGGCGCCCTGCTAAGCCCGCGCGTCCCCTCCCCCTGGGCACCGGGAAGGGCTGGCAGCTGCTCCCCCCGTACTGACCCGATGGGAATTGTGATGTAGGGTAGCGAGCCTCTGTTACGGGGCCACCTCGCAGCCCGGTCCTCGAGCTACGGGCTATGCCCCCTGCCGGGCCTAGTGGAAAACAATGCTGCTGCACAGCGAAGCGCAGAGTAGGCGCTCTGACGTTCTACCCCCTTATGCGGATGTCCTTGTCCTCCTCCTCTTCCTCCTCCTCCTCGTCCTCGTCCTCCTCCTCCTCCTCCTCCTCCTCCTCCTCCTCCTCCTCTTCCTCCTCCTTTTGTATGCAGGCCATTTCGCTACAGCGGTGTCCACATTTCGCGCAGTCGACCCCTGCCTGCAGCCGCCGACGCGCACAATTTCTGTGCTGGCAGTGCTGTCAGGGCGGAAGAAAAAAAGGAATATACAGGTAATATTCGAAAAGGAAAACGACATGAACATACACTTTTGGCGCTCCGCGCCGATATTTTGATCCGCGCTGGACCCACTCCTGGCGGCGCCTCTGACGCCACCCTTGGCGCGCCCCGCGCGCCAGGGAGGGGGGTCCAGCGCAGATCCGAGAAATCCGCGCGGAGCGCCAAGCGTTTACGCTTATGCTGTTTTTTCTTTTAGGTGCGATGGGGAGCGGAGGAGGACGTAGGAGAGGGACGACTCGTGGGGCACGGGCCGCCTCTGTCAGCGCCCGCCGACGCGTCCCTGACACACACCACGCCTGTGTGCCGGGCAGCAGATGGAGATCGACGGCAGCTTCCAGCTCCAGGACATCGTCGACGCCATCTCCCAGCACGACGAGCTGCTGAAGCTGGACCTCTCCGTCACCGTCGCGGACCCCCTCCAACAGGACTGCCTGTTGTTCGCGTGCATCAGCGCTCTGTTTTTCGCTCGAGTTCTTTCGTGCAGTCACACGTTCGAGAGCTTTCTCGGACCATTTTTTCGAATCAGCACCGCATTCGTCGGTCCAACACCAAATCGGTCCCTAGTTTTTGCCAGTCCAGAGCTTTTCGGTAGCAGGACTGCCCGCTGATCGCGTGCAGCAACGGGTTCACGGAGCTCACCGGCTACGCCGTTGGCGAGATCGTGGGGCGCAACTGCCGCTTTCTCCTCGACGGCGTGCCGGACCAGTTCATCGACCACGACACGCGGCTCAGGCCGGTCGCGCGCCAAAGGGCCGCGGCCCAGCGGTGGGGACGACGTCGGGGACGAAGTTTCGAGGTTCCCAGTGTGATGTTGTCGGTCGCTTTCCAGCCTCCGGCTGCCTTCCAGCACCTGCGCCTCGCCGGGAGCGTTCCGGGGGTGCTTGGATCATCCCGGACCGCGCACCAGGGAGGTGGGCCCGGCGCCGATCCAAAAGATCTTCGCGGAGCTCCGAAAGTTTTGTGCTTGTGCAGCCTTTTGTCCCTCTGTTCTCTTACCAGCTTGAAGCATCTCCCTATCTCTATGTTTGGCAATCCTTACCTCCGCTCCGATCTCGAGGATCCCCTTCGTGTTTGAAGGCGTATCCATGAGATTGTCGTCGCCGTGGCTTGCCGATCGCAGGGATGGGGATGAGTTCAGACAGATCCTTTTCTGGTGTCCTCAGGAGCGAGCTGCCTCGTCCAGAGGATCGATCGAGGATCGAGGATCGAGGATCCAGGATCCAGGATCCAGGATCGATCGAGGAGTGAGGAGCGAGGATCGAGGATCGAGCTGCCCCTTCGAGAGATGGGCTCTTCGGGAGGCGCCCTAGTCCGCCTTTGCTCTGCGCGCTATCGTCGCCAGGTGCCGCCACTACGTGTCCACCACCAAGGGCTATCCTGGTGATCCGACCCCCGACGAGACTATCACAGAGTACCTGAAGGCGCAGCCCTGGATGACCACGCGGCCGGGCGAGGTCGCTGCGGCGGCGGGGAGAAGGAGGAGGAGGAGGAGGACGAGGAAGTGGAGGAGGAGGAGGAAGAGGGGGAGGAGGAGGAGGAGGAGAACCAGGAGGAGGAGGAGGAAAAGAAGGATGAGGGAGGAGGAGGAGGAGGAGGAGGAGAAGGAGGAGGACCAGTGCAGACCCAAAACGCATCAACGATGTTGCAATCCGCCCCCTGCCATCCTCTACTAAAAACAATGCGCGCGCACACGGTTATCACAAATCATCAGTTTCCAATAATCCTTTGCAACAAATGGGACGCAATGCACGCGCGCGCGTTGTCGCGCGCACATGCCGAAGTCCTTCAAAAACTTAGCAGTCCCGTACGGATTTCAAAATGTAGCGTCAACCAGACATGCAACACACATGGTTCCGCAACGCGGATTATCAAAACAAGCTTGCGCGCGCGCTCGTGCGAAGTCTTGAGAATACCGTCGGTGTTCCATCATGTCCAGAAAGTGTTACCAGCTGGGCTTCGCGCGCGCGTGTCGCATTCGTTCGGACGCGCTTGCGCGCGCACCGTCGCGAGAATCCTTTCTGCCAAAAATGAGACGAAGTGCGCGCGCGTCGTCGCGCGCGCATGCCGAAATGAACCGGAAACATGTAGTTTCGTAGCGATGTCAAAACCGCGTGTCCGAAGACATGTGAAAACACATGGTTCCGCAACATCAATGTGTTAGCGCTCTTGTGAATTCTTAAGGCAACCATCGATTGTTCAGCATGTTCATGGAAGTCTGCCTAACGGGCATCTGGCGCCGCATGCCGAAATCATTCGCGCGCCCTTGCGCGCGTGCTGGGGGGGGCGCGATCCGCGTCAAATGATGCCATGCGGGCCACTCGCGCGTGGGCCGTGCGCGCGTGTCGAACTCCTGGCAAAACCTTCTTCACCGACGCGAAGGCGCCGTCGCCGTCGCCGGCGTGATCAGCATCGGTGCCCTCGCTGGCCGCGCCGTCGTCGTTGTTGTCAACATCGCCACCAGCACCGCTACTATCATCGTCGCGCCTACCGTTGTCGACGTTGCCATGATAGCGCACCCGCCCAAGTCGTTGACTCGCAGTGAAGTGCCCGCTGAGATGTGCCCAGCGGTCAGCCCCACCGCGGCCGCGTCGGTCGCGCCAAACTAGCTGGCCGCCGCCGCGCGCGTGCTAGGGTTGTCGTGGCCGCAGAGGTGCACCAGCCACCACCGAGCATGCATCTCAATCGCAACCGCATCGGTCTTGCAAGCCAAATTGCGGGTGGGTGGGTGGGATGTTTGCAAGAGCAGGGTATGTGTCAGTTCGTTCGCACATATATTCCAACACGTAGATTTTTTCCAAAGAAGAATCGATTCTCCCCCCCCGAGTTAACGATCCCCCTGGGGGTGTTGCGACTTCATACTTGTTCTGCACACTCGTCCATCCTACATATGACCTCGCTTTACCCCAGCCCAACTGGTATCACTCCCCTCCGCCACCGTTTGCCCCAAAAACTATGCGCGCACATTCGTTTATCAAAAGTTATAAGTTTCCAAGAACCCCTTCGCAAAAAAAAAGAAAAGAGAAAACAAACAGGACGAAGTCCTCATGCGCGCGTGGTCGCGCGCGCGCCGAAATTCTTCAAAAACCATTGGTTTCGGAAGGGTTTCAAAATCGAGTGCCCCAACCACATACAAACACACAGTGCTTCGCAACACGGATCTTATAAAAAGGCTTACGCGCGCACTCTTGCAATATCTTAAGAAAACCATCGGCTTTCCAATATTTTCAAAAAGTTCTACCACACGGGCTTCGCGCGCGCGTGTCGAAATCGTTCGAAAGCCCTTGCGCGCGTGCCGTGGCGAGAATCCTCTGCAACAGACGGTACGAAATGCACGCGCGCGTCGTCGCGCGCGCATGCATGCTGAAATCTTTCGAACACCTTCGGTCCCGGAATGGTTTCAAAATCGAGTGTCCACAAAACTACAAAACACATGGTTTCGCAACACGGGTGTTCAACAAAAGCGTGCGCGCGCTCTTGCGTCGTCGTCGTCGCCCTTGTCGTCCTCTGTCTTTCCTCGTCGTCGTCTTCGTCCTCTTGGGTCGTTTCCGTCGTCGTTGTCGCCGTGGTCGTCCTTCCTCCTCTCTCGTCTTCGTCGTCGTCCGTCGGCGGCGTCTCGTCGTCGTCCCTCCTATTTCGTCGCCGTCGTCGTCGTCGTCGTCGTCGTCGTCGTCGTCGTTGTCGCCGCCCTCCCTCCTCCTCCGTCGTTGTCGCCGTCGTCGTCCTCCCTCCTCCCTCGTCGTCGTCGTCGCCTTCGTTGGCGACGTCGTCGTCGTCTTCGTCTTCGTCGTCGTTGTCGTCGTCGGCGTCGTCGGCGTCGGCGTCGGCGTCGGCGTCGTCGTCGTCGTCGGCGACGTCATCTTCGTCGTCGTCGTCGGTGTCGTCGTCGTCTTTGTCGTCGTTGTTGTCGTCGTCGAAGTCGGAGTCGTCGTCGGTGTCGTCGTAGTCGTCGTCGGCCTGGTCGTCGTCGTTGTCGCGTCGTTGTTTGCGTCGGTGTCGTTGCCAAGTGCCATGTGTTACCTGCCGTCACGATCTTCGGAGGTTTTGCGACCAAGTTGCGGGTGGGAGGGTGGGATGTTTGCACGAGCAGTGGACAGGACAGCTTCAAGACAGCCAAAGTGAATTGCACACCATAGATTGCAACGCGTAGATTGCAACGCGTAGATTGCACCGCATTTTTTTGCTCTACGTAGGTCGCACCACACAGGTTCTCCTCCCTAAGAAAGTATTAGGATCTACCCGCCCTCCCCGGAGCTAGCGTGCCCCCTTTTCGCGATGCAATTTGCGTATCATTTTGCCCCCGCGTCCTTCCTAGATGTGAACGCCGGCCATCCCAGGTAGGCAGGTATCAGCCCCCCCCCCATTCTTTGCAAAAGTACTATGCGCGCGCATTCGTTTCACACAAATCACCAGTTTCCCAAATTCTCTGCAACACGTGGGACGAAGTGCGCGCGCGCGTCGTCGCGAGCGCATGCCGCATGAAAAACGCTTAGGGTTCTTTGTATGGCTTTCAAGACCGAGTGTCCCGAAAACATGGGTAACAACACGTGGTTTCGCAAAACGAGTTTTCAAAAGAAACTTGTGGTCGGGCTCTTGCGGGTGGATTATCAAGAAGACCGTCGCTAAACAAAAACCGTGTTCATCATCGCTACCAAACGGGTGTCTCGCGCGCGCATGTCGAAATCGCTCACGCCCTTGCGCGAGCGTGTTGTCGCACGAATCTCTCTTGCAAAAGATGGGAGGAAGTGCGCGCGCGTGCGTCGTCGCGCGCGCATGTTGGAATCTTTCAAAACTTTAGGTGCTTAGGTTTCCTATGGGTGTCAAAGCCGAGTGTCCCGAACACGTATAAACACGTGTGGTTTTGCAACATGTTTATATATACATAAAAAAAACGTGCGCTTGCGCTCAGCATTTTCATCAAATTCGACCATACGGGCCCCTCGCGCCGCACATCGAAATCATGCAAACGCCCTTGCGCGCGTGCTGGGGGAGGGGCGCGATCCGTGTCAAAGAATACCATGCGGGCCACTCTCGCGCGTCGGCTGCGCGCGCATGGCGAACTCCGTCCAAAACCTTCATCACCGACGCGAAGGCGCCGTCATCGTCGCCAGCGTGATCAGCATCGGCGCCGTCATTGACCTTGCCGTCGTCGTTGCCATTATCGTTGCCAGCGTCGTTGCGTCATCATTGCGTCTTCCATTGTCGGCATTGCCATCATAGCGTGCCTGCCCATGTCGCCGACTCGCAGTGAAGTGCCTGGTGGGGAGTGCCTAGCGGTCAGCGCCACCGCGGTCGCGTC